TTTCTCAAAAAAAGGGGACTAAGCCCTTGATTATCCTTACGGCTCTTTATCATCTTGCGGAGCATATATGAATGTTTCCCTCTCAATCGACCAGCGTGATGAACGTGGAAAATTTTTCGACATTCGCTAACACGCAACTAAGAATGTGAGTATTCTTCTCTATGAGTATCCTGAGTAAGGCACATCGATCCCCAATGTCCCTAGGGATATTGAAAATTCTTTCCATTCTCAACTAGGCTACATAGAGCGCTATGCTTGGATATTCTCCATCTTATAGAGTTCTGAAAACTCTAATTCACGATCACCTTTACTAATAAAACTTTATGCTGACTTAGTTACCTAACCAACAAAGCTGTCTTACCTATATGCACATACCCGGAGGGTTGCAATGACCGCATATAATAATGCGCACACGACCCTTTGTGTTTACGAAGGACTCGCATACAATAAATGCACCTAATGAACCACCTTCGGTCTTAACCTACAATCTTATGAAGAATAAGTAAAGATAAAGCTGCTTAACGGTTACAGATTCGCCATGCAGAGGCTCTCCACAAACCTATGTACTCGAATAATTGGAGTGTAAAATCTGATATTGAGGGGCTCTTAGTTTAGGTGATATAGGCAACAAACTAGTGCAATTTCCAATTGTAACAGTTTTTGTGCCATTTATCATCTTAACATTACAATATTTAATTCCTTATCTCCTACTACACTAATTGTGTGTGCTGTATTCAATATTTAAATTATGCCATAACAGAAAGTACATCATCCTGTACACCAGTGTGTTGTTGAGTACTTGGAATAATCAATTTTCTAAGCATCTATCTCTCTTCACAGAGTTTTCTAAAAATAACTCAAATAGATACTCGCCACCTTGGTCAAAACTAAAAGCACAAAAAACTCTTATCTAATTGATCTCGACCTCATATGTGCAATGTCAAAAATCATCTCAAAACTTTTGACTTATGAGAGATCAATTAGTCTTGACTCAGATGCGTATCGTGATCTATAAATGTGTTGAGATTGAGGCTTAGCTATCATACCCTTACACATATCTAGTCACAAATATCATAGTGGACTAAATGCGCCAAAACAAATGACCTTCTATGGCTTTCCTACTTACTTGTGCGCAACCATTGCGAACAAAGTTACACATTCACATGAGAGCAGGATGTCATAAGCGAGTGGGCCCGAGAAGGCCTACTCAAACCATCGTGTCATCATCTCATTAATGTGATTAAGTATAATAAGCCACTAGTTCATGACCAATGTCATAAACTAATTCCAATCATCTTAATGTGTGAGTTCTTGAAGACAAGTTTTAAAAAGTTTAGGCCCAACTAGGTAATGAATCACAACTAAGTCATATTCACTAGATCATAAAAGGGATGTCATGGAGATATCAAGTGCGCCTGAGTCGCAAATTTAACTAGTAAGTGCTAATCCCCTGCACCTTCAAGTCAATTTTATTCTCCATACACTTTACTGCATCTAGTTGAAAGATGACGATACTCTTCTTGCCATCTCTATTTCTCGCTTCATAGTTACTTGCAATTAATTCTACTATCCACTAGAAGGAGAGAATAAGTTATCAATCTATGACAGCTCCTGAAGTAACTTAAGCGCGAATTAGGCTGAAGAGTCTAATTCAACACAATGCTCTCACAAGCGATGCGTCAAATTTTTAAAGTCATGACAACCTTGTTAGCCTTGACCTTTTCATTACTATACTGCAACGTTTGCGCTTAGTGGTAAATGTTATTCAAAATGTTAGCCTAGTAAAGAAATCACACAAAGAAGCACCTCATCCATGTCCCACACTTAAGTGTGGAAACAAAGTGTCCAAACTTAGACAAGTTAGCAATGCTAATAGATTTTGCAGCAACTAAGCGCTAATCCTTTCACTTAGTGTTAATAGATTTTTACTTATCCAATTCTCTAACGAGAAAGTTAAGTCACAATGTCCACAATCAATGTTCCGAACTTATGTCAATCATAGCCTAAGTCAAAATAACCTCACTCCCCAGGAGGAAGTCTTCTCATGGTCTACACTTTCCTCAATGGTGCGACCATTCGGTATCTA